AGTGAAAAGGATTACATCCAAAACAGTTCCTTCGATTTCACTGAAAAGGAGAATCAGCGAAATCGACTCGGATCTAATCACTTACTCAGCCTCTCTGATACTCCAACTGAGCGAGGTATGAACGCAGCCTGAAGCAACGCAGAAGACAACGAGATAGTATCTCGTCTTTCTTGAGCGTCACTTCTCGTCCGCTTTCTTTCATCGTTGTGGACTTGTACAGCCCCAGAAGCAGCTGCACAAGTGGGGTCGCTTTCAAGTGCTTTCGGCAATCACTTGGGATAATTGCCTTATACGCTCTACTATAGCCACACCTACGTTATTGTGAAACGCGACCTGTAGACCACTCTTTCAGAAGACAACGTCATTGCCGTCATGCCCTGTTTCCAAAAACTTTCAAGGCATGCCACCAATAAGGGGCTAATAACTAGGGAAGCTGTGACCTTCCTGAGAAGTAAAAACGCTGCAACAGGTCTTGGGATTCGCTGGTAAGGAGCGCAATAGGTCGCGAATGGGAACACGGGATCCATTTCGGAAGCATCTGCTTAAACCTTGGCGTTTTGCACTTTGTCAGTCCAAGCAAAGTCAAAACTGAGACTTGTTAGCTCCTCCGAAGCTGCAAAGTGGTGCGAGTGAGCCACTCTGAACACTGGTATTTCAGCTAGCCACAATGATCTGTGCAAGCTTAGCTGAATACCATTGCCTCCGTAAGCCGAACTGCACCGACACACGTATGCTACAAGATTGCCGAAAATAGATGCAACTATGCTTTTGCCATAAACAAGCCCTATTTAATTCAATTCATTTACGGATCTGAATTCCGTTTAGTAGAGACATCAGGTTGTACACGGGCTGCCGAAACCTGTATTTCGACCGCTTTTCTCGCTGATTTGTCCACAAAAAGCCCCTTTGACCCCCCATAACTTATGCAGAAACCTGAACAATCCGCTAAAGTGCGTCGCAGCCGCCGAAACATGCTAGTGCTTCATAGATTCGCCGCCCGGAGCGCCCTACTCCTGCGTATACCCCCGCGTACAGCATACGGCGCTTCAAATGCTACTCGTATGATGTTGATGAAGGAAAGGTAATGTATCAGTGTCAGTTATGAGAACACTTGCTGCTGCTCATCACAGCTCTTCATAATCAACCATTCAACAGAAGTCAGGCTAGTGTATTGGTCGGATATGCCACTGTTGAAAGGGAAATAGCAGTAAGCCGTGCTTCGATTAGGAAAGGTCGGACAGTAGAACTATAGCGGTTGAATAGTTTTCATGACCAATGAAGCAGATTTTGCCGTTAAAACTCATCTTTGCCGCCTATTTTTGTTGTTATCACTTTATTTTGACCCTAAGATTCTTGCCGCTTTTGTCAATGTTTCGGGGACAAGTTTGTGTTTGTGTAAGTCGAGCACTGCTTTTCAAGGACGACCGCTGGACCAGAGCGATCACCGACTGGATTCCACGGGATGTCAAGCGAACGCCTGGACGACCGCCTACGCGATGGTCAGACTTCTTCGTGAAAGCTCTGAACGAATGGTATGAAGTTCATCGTGTCCCTCGAGCAGAGAGGACCCATCGGAATTCTAGCGCGTTGCAGGTGGGAATGGAGACGTTACTGGCGCCCGCTCGAGTAATCCGATACAAAAGGGAGCGTAGGTGATATAGGTGATCACTCTCTGCCACCAACCTCCCCTATCGCACCCTATGTCACGATGAATAATAAATAGCGCTGCAACAAGCTCTAGAACATGATTTGGAATCTGGCCAATTTGGTGACCTTTGGTTTTTTAATGATCCAATCAGCCTTCCGGTTGTTATCATTTCATGTCACCCACTATTAAAGGCAAGTGGCACGATAAATGCCCAAGACGTGCAGCCTAGCAGGGCAAAATTCGGCACCCTCGAGCAAGCTGCGCCGCCTCCTCTAAGGAGGGCACCCTTATAGCGCCCTATAAAGCTATAACATACCCACCCAGACGCCCACCACTCCTGCCCACAAATGGATGACCGTACCTGACGCTCGTATCGCTTCATTTGCGAAGTCAATGTGAAGCCGAAGAATGGTATGAAGCGGCGCGCGGTGCTGCATGGATATTTATGCGAGTACATTACGTGCCAGCCAATAGCTACGCAGCAGTGGTTTTCCCTTTCAATTTTTTTTCGCCACTTGTCCCCAACTACATAGCCACCTGCTTGAAGACTTGTGGCAACCAAACTATCGTGCACACAGCATTCCAAAGGCCAAGTGGCTACGGTATATTTTTGGGGGGGGACGTGACAAAGATCAAATACCTTTCGGCATTGTTCAGTCTGCGCCCCTGACGAAACGGCGGCTGGGAGAAAAGCAAAAAACAGCCATCGATCGGAGAATCGCCAACCGCTAGTTTCGCCGAAATGCCGCGGTTCGGCGGTTGGGCGAACAGCAATAAATGCGTATCGATTTCGCTGGCGAAAAACGCCGGGGCGATCGAGCTAGCGTTTCGTCGAAGGCGAAAAACGACGGGGCGATCGAGCTAGCGTTTGGTCGAAGGCGAAAAACGTCGCGGTTCGACGAAACGCCCGTGATTCGTATCAAAACCCTTTCGCTCAACCGCCAGTCGATACTTATCAAAAGCTTTTCGCTGATCCGCTGCGTTCTAAAGAAACGTTGGGCCGCAGACTGTGAACAATGCCTTAGCAGGACAGATTTCCGCGCCTCTGAGCAGCGTTGTGTGCCGCCGTTTCCAGGAATGCACCCTTATCACTATCAAGCTGCAACATACCGACCCAAACGCCCACCGCGCCCGCCCGCTCATATTTGTCCGACCGATCCTGGTGCTCGTTTCGCTTAATTTGCGAAGTAAAATATGAGGCGAAGGGACTGATATGAAGCAGCTGCGGTGCTACATGGATATATGACCACATACATGCACCCGTATCTACCGTAGCGGTATTTGGCAAGATGCCAACGGACAACTCGACCAAAAATGCTTGCGATGTCATGCAGAACAGAGGCTTTTTAGCAGTTCATGATCGTTTCACTTCGCTTTTCCTCCATTTTCCTACTGTATAGCAGCCCTGCTACCGAGCAACAATTCGTGTCTTTTCGTGCTTTGTTACCTTTAAGGTCCACGTCTCACCCCTACGTTCATTTCTTGGAGCCAATTATCTAATGTTTCTACGATTCGCGCTACTCGAGTGGTGACCCTTAAATCCGAAGGTTTCCTATCGGATCTTATCAGCAGTTATCACTCACTATCACCTATCTTCCCGTCCCTCCCCCCCCCCATATCACTTACCAGTTTAGACTCTTGCGGTAACTCTAATGAGCTGACGCGAGGAAAAGGGTATTCCTCACTGAGGGGATTTTGTAAGTGAAATTAAACAAATTTATGACGTACATGTAGATCACCAATGTGACCATTGATTGCTCCGAGTTGCATGTCTTCTACGAAACGGCCAATGTTCCACCGTCCATGTTTGGATAGAACTGCAGTTGGTTCGCTTTCTTCAGACCGTACACCACCGTCCACTTCCACAGCAGAAGCCATAAGTTGCCAACAATCACTGAATTCGATAGCACCTTAAAAAACACGCAGATAAGAACAAGTGTTCACATTTAATCAACATGAAAGAGGGGAACGGCAAGTTTAGCGGAGAGATAAAGCTGAAGAAAGTCAACAACCGTTCAGCGGAAGAGCTGCAAACGAATGAAAAAAGTTCTCACTACTGGGAAACCCCATGGAACGACATGGAAACGTCGATTGCACTTAGGGGGGATGATCCGTGCTTCTCAAAGTGTTCGGTGTATTCGCGGACAAGACACGAGCCAAAGGGCGGACTTCGTGGTGAAATGATAACTTTTGCATTTATAAAAGTTTCTTTGTTCTGATTTGAGTTCCTTAACCTTTTGCTTAACTGTTTTCCCAATTGGCAGGTGGAGCTGGATTGTTACGACCATGTGGTAGCTGCTGCTGTGGAAAGGTCATTCCATAATGTCTAGTTTGTTAACTGGTTTTGTTGGAGAAAAGGTAATTATCCTCAAAGTTCTTGGTTTCTGTAATTTTTGATTGATCTCCATTTACGTGTAGTGGTCCTCACGAGGCGAAAACATCTAGGCGATTCCCTGAAAAGCCTAGCAAGTTGTGCACTTTGGCGGATGTTGGTCTGCAGCTCTCTCCATCATCATGCTACAAAAATTTTGCTTTCTTTTAAATAAAATAGGAACTTGGTTTCACCATATGAACCGTAATAGCGGTACATAATAACTGAGTCACCCATAAATGTTTTCACTTTGTTGGTATTCCATTACCACAAGTAGCCTACGCTGTAACTGTACACAGGACAGGGGTAAGTTTGTTCGAGGGGCCATTCCTACAAAGTAGAACGACCACGGTGACTGGTCGTCTACGCTCTGCCCCTCACCGAGGTGATGAATCAGGCTAAGGCTGCGTTCACTTTTGCGTCAGCGCACGGCAGCGTTTCGGGCGTACGCCAGTGGCTGAGAAAGTATAGGAATCCAATGAGTGTGCAACAGCGTACGTCACCAACTAGGAAAGTATAGATATCGATATAACGGACGCCAGCGTACAGCAGCGTTTTCGCGGAAAGTTTAGCTCAAAACAAATTCCCGCGAAAACGCGGGTGTACACTAAAAACGCTGTCGTGCCGTGGCGTACGCTGACGCAAAGTATGAAGACAGCCTTACAGCTAAAAAAGGCGGACGGTTTAAGTCGCCTCGCACTCCCACCTACTACGTTAGCGCCCGTATACGTGTTACAAGTTGAACTTTACCAAATACTTCCTTCCCCCTCGATCTTCCCTCTTTCGGGCTGTTCCCCTTTTTCTTACTGTATTCACTTCCCCTTCTTAGTACTTTTTTTAAAAAAAAGTCCTTCTTAGTATTTTTACCTGGATATGTTGTGCCCTTCCTCGAGGCTGTGTTCATATTTTGCGATTCGGCTATTATTCGGTTTTGAGCGGAGCAGGGTTTTGAGTGGAAAAAATAGCTTCGGTATCGACTGGCGTGGTCGCTAGAGTTTTGGTAGAATTGCTGTTTTGATGGTCTGTGAGAATTGGCATTTCGAGCCTCAAAACGCCGATTCTTCCAAAATGCTCGAAACGTTGATTCTCCTGATATGTCGACTATTTCAAAGTGCCGAGTCGCAAACTATGAACGCAGCTTGCGCCGAATCTCTTTGTTACATAGCCTGGGGATTCATGCTGCATTCAGTCAATGGGCAGGTCATACCACCATGTTCTTAGAAAAAAGATGCTTTGAAGAACAAAGAGAAAATATTAGTCGATTGTGGAATAACACTCTGAAGTGATAAAAAGACTGTTTTAGCGTGTTCCATCAGCTCCATATAAGCATCTTCCTGTTCACCCGCTGATATCTCCTGCAGTGGACTTTTCGTTTCGTAATATCTGCAGAGTTCGACCATCATGTGCAAACTGTTTCCCACAGACATCGGAAGACCTTTATCATAACTATGTCGATCTATTTGATTTTTCCAAGGTTAGTTATGAAGAATTTGTTTTCTACTTCTCCCGAAGCGTCAATCATTTTTTTCTCATTTTTCCTCTTGTGACCATTCCTTTTTCTTTCTTTCCTTTTATAATAGAGTGCGTCAGGAAAAGCTTTCATAATCTATTTTCGTAGCCGTTAAGCAGTTTTGCAAGGGACAGAGGAGAGGGAGGGACTCCTTGTGCAAAAGGGAGAATAGCATCCAAAAGAAGTACCTACCTTGAATTCAGTTTTCTAAGCCCGAAGGTCCTGCCATTTCGAGCTCATCTGCTGGTCCTCATTCGAGACTGGACCTTCTCTCCCTAGACTTGGAACAAGAACCTTCATCTCCTCGCGGCTACGCCAGCTTTGCACAAGGAGTCAGCCACCAAGGTTATAAACGCTACTATATCTAGCGTATCAGAGAGCTCAGGCTGCGTTCATACTTCGCGTCATAGTGCGTTCATAATCTGGGTCAGCACTTTGAGCGCTTTCAACGACTTGGAGAATGTGGGTATCGATCCAGCTTTTTGAGCATACGGCAGCGTTGTGAGCGCATGCCAGCTTTTTGAGCAACTGGAAAAGTATAGATATCGGTCTGGCGTTTTAAGCGCACAGCTTTTTCAGCGTTTCGCGGTTAGTTTTGAGCTTCTCGCAAGGCTGTAGCTGAAAGCGCTGGCGTACGCTCGAAACGCTAGATCGATACCTATATTTCCATGGTCGCTCAAAGCGCTGCCATACGCTGGAGTGCGCTAGACCGATACCTACACTTTCATAGTCGATCAAAACGCTGTCGTATGCGCGAACTGCTGCCACGCTCAAAACGCTGGAGCAGATTACCAGCGCTGCCCTACGTGGTCTTGTATTTTAGTTGGTTTTTTGCAAATCAGTATATGGGATGGCAGCAGGCATTTCAAGCTCTCTGATAAAACCGTAGATGTACTTCCAGCAAACTGCGAACTGTTACAGTAAGCTCTGTATCTTTTTGACGCTCTCATTCCAGTCGAAGATAATATGCTATTTTTTATTGCATGAGAGGGTCAAAATCAGCTTCCACAAGCTTCAAGGCGGCTCTTTTTCTTATTCGCTCTCAGCGCGTACCAGAACAAGATTTTTTTGATGCAGTTTTAGGTGTGGTTTTTGCAAGGATGGTGAAATATGGAAAAGAGCTAGACTCGTACGGTGCACAATTTGCTTTATCGTGTTTATTTCAGTTTGGTGGGATGCCGTACCCGATCCTACCAGGTGCACGTCCTCCTTCGCCGTGGTTTGCAGACTTCCGATATACTATCGTTACTCCTCTACCTCATTCTTACCCCAATGTATATGAGGAGGTAATTGCATCGCGAAGGTACTTTATTCTCACACTCATCTTTTCGTTATTCGTTAGCTTCGTCTTAAAGGCAGCTGCCACAATTTGGTACTCGGCTTAAAATGCTAGCAGGGCGCTATATAGTGGGAAAATGGCGAAAAACGAAGTGAAACGGTCAAAATCCTGCGAAGGAAAGCCTTCCTTCTTAATGACTTGAAGCAATACGAGTACCAAGAACGGCCGTCCATTTGTGGGCGGGCGGGTGAGGTGGACGTTCGGGTCGGTATGTTAGCTTGGGAGGGCCCTAATAAGGGTCTCTGGAAAAGGCGCTACGCAGCGCCTGCTCAGGGTCGTGGAATTCCGGCCTGCCAAGCGTATTCATCCTACTCGTCCTAGAAATTTATCATGCCAACTGCCTTTAAAGTCCTCGGAGCCTACCGTAATGTTACAAAATATTTATCTTGCAATCGACTAGTGAACACTTGATCCCAATTGGTTTTGATTATGCCGAAAATTTCTGCTCAATAAGGTGGTTAGTTCCCCTTGTCATCGGGATTAGTGGGAGAGCGTTCAGACTTCGTTATGATGCGCTACAATTGCACTAGCGCTTCAAGTGGATATAAGCGCGAACGCAGCCACAGACGGCAATCCATCGACCCCGGCTGCTTGTGGCCTGAGTGAGTATGGGATGACAAGAGGGTAGGTGCTGCCTTCACGCAATCTGGTACCCTCCTATACTTTTAAACTCTCCCAAAGCATCTAGCGGCCATAGTCGATCGATACCAGGCTGTGACTACCCTCCTATCCCCAATGCTCTCTGAGAATACAAGCGGCCGTCAAGGAATACGTTGCCGTCTGCGGCTGCGGCTACGTTCGCGTCTACAGTATTGGAGCGCTGTTGCAAGTTGAAGCACGTAAAATGCGTTGCAGCGCGTCGACGCGCATCAGGCGCGATACACTCACGTCATGGCGAAGTCCGATCGCTGCATGATACGGAATTTCCGAGTGACAGCGACTCGATCGCTCTTTGGTTGTATGTGTCGCACGAGCACGAATTCTGATAGACTTCATGTTTTTGAACAGTGCTATGGTAAAGATAAGTCTCCTCGGCCATTGATGACAAAACGGGAAAAATGTTGAACACATTTTCAGCGCGGATGTCTTGGTTTTCAGCCTGAAGTGTTTTTCAGTATTCCATTTCTCTCTATTTTTCCTCGTGCTTCAGTGCCTGAGCTGATAACATTACAGAGTAGCTGCCGTGATGAAAACTGAAGAAGCCAAAAGTCCGAATATCTCGAAAAAGGCCATCAAGAAGAAAGTTGTGGCATTTTACTACGAGATTCGAGCTACTTTATCACGTTTTATCTGCAAAATATGTGGTTATCTCCTTTTCAAGGTATTGCAGAAGCCTCGACCTCGCAGTCATCTCTAAATGAACGATGTATTTCTCAGGTATTCCGCCGCCTGATGACTCGTTTGTTGATCAGCCCACTGCAGATGAAACGAATTGTTGAAGCGGAAAAAGTGCGGCTTCTAATATTCCTCTTGTTACTGTACAACAAATCGTAATCGTAATCAATTCTTCATCATGTAAAAGCATTCATTTATCAGCTTTCCAGACGGGTATACCACTTGTCTACCTTCCCCTTCACCGGTCTCATCTTGATTATCTCTTAATCACTTGGACTGCGTGGCACTTTGGTCTTCGATTGCCCCATATTGCTTCCGGTGATAACCTAAACCTCAGCGGTCTTGGGTTAGTTCAAAATATTCAGATTCCTTCAAACTACTGTTGATTGAAATCAATATTCTTGATAAATTCATCATACGCCTTGATAGGTCTTGAATTCAGCTGGCTTCTGCGATCTACTGGAGCGTTTTTCATTCGAAGGCGCACAGATGAACACGATGAAGGGGGAAAAGATGCCTGCTATCGGTGGGTTTACATCACTGTTTATAATACCCATGCCTACCGGTTGCTACCCGTCCTTACTCCTGTGGTAGCGGAAGAAGGATGGACATTATAGAATATCGCTAGCCTAAACTGCTCATATCGGATGGTCATAGCGGCTTACTATTCCCCCCTCATAGATACTAGTTGCTCGGCATTTCATTTGGATACCATTTTCACTTTAAATCCACGAATTCGCAAGCGAAATTCACGACTTTTCTAGCCAAATGCAAGGCTCGGTTGTCCATGCCTCGCTAGGCGCTATGCAAGCTCCGCCCCTGCAGCCACGCCCACATTTCAAAGTGGTCGTGATTTTCCAAATTTCATTTTTAACTTCTGCTTTTATGACTTTTTCTTCGCGCATTTGTTATTTTGCACATACGCTGAAAAGGACGGTACATCAGCTCATGGGTAACTCCCTCCTTTTTTGATGAATCTGTCCTCCCTCCTTTTTTTTTGAAGAATTTGTCGTAAATTTCTTTTTCATACTTTTTCAAAGGCGTTGTTTTGACTTCCATTCTCAAAGAAGTACTCGTAGACGCGCATGGCGCATTAGGCTCCGCAGCTTTCCTCCCTACCACTTTTTGCGCCTTGTTGCGAGACTTTGATATTCTTTCAGATTTTTTTTTACATTTTTGGACTGATACTTGAACACCCGTCCGCTATGAGAAGCTCCCCTC